TTTAATCGACATAAAGAAAATGTAGAGCTTGTTCACACTTGTGTACTTCTTTTGTGTGTCTGGCAAAAATATAATTTTATAAAGATTTAAATCGTGCTTAAGATTTACAGAATGTGATACGTTACGTTTACGTTGTGAAACAGAGCATACGTGTGTCATGTTTCTGTTATATGAATACTTTAAAAGAAAGTGGACTTCTTTATAGACCTACATGTTATTAAGATTTAAGTTGATCTATACTCCGCTGTCATGAACAATAATTCGACGCGGAGCTATATCACGGTACATATAAAAAACAATAACGAGCGTGTGACGGCGAGTTTAATATAGACACGGGAATGATGATTCTCCGATTTTTTCATGAGATGCAGAATATGCAACAAATACACGCTCATTTTACACGATAGAGAACTTTTATTGTACAAATAGTATACATATAAGGAACGTGTAACGTTTGCGAAACGTTTACTGTACAGATAATGTAATAACGAGAATAAGCATTATGATTGGTAAGAATATCATTTGTGATGTAAGGTTGAGAATGATTAAACTGTACGAATATTTCGACAACTAGCATTAATTTTAGCATTTACGCTAATGTTTCGCTTTATAACGACAAATTTACGTATTTCAAATAAAACGATATTTTTTGCTTAACAAGTCGAACAGATATTTCATCGCAAGCTTCAGGAAACCTGGAAAGTGAAGCTAAATTTTCGCTAACGTCGTTTAATTAAGAACCGTTATGTCTACGATCGTTTGTCATTCGAGGATTAAACAATCCCGATGTAATTACTATTTTTCTAGCCATGTTATTTCAGATATTCGTTTCTCTACGGTGACTCGTCGTACCATAATCCTTAGCATCATTTCGCAGGTAAGAAAGTGCGAAGAAAAGGTCTAACGGTCGTTTTATGGCTACCATTGATTGTTTCGTGTGATAAAGGGCGTTTCTTACAGGAAGCCGGCTACCTATGAGAAAGAAAGAAAGAAAAAAGGGAAGATCTCCACGGAACAGCTGTACGATAAATCGTTAAGTGACCCAACCGTACGGAACATTCAGCTACAAGGTGAATTCGAAAATATTTGGGTCGTTGCGAGGACAGCAGGTGCCGGATTTTCAAATTTTAATCGTTTTCCTTGCTCTCTGAGCACGATATCATTATTCTCGCATAAATTGCAATATTTTAATATCATTAAATTCCGATCAGCGGACACACGTTACTTTTCCGTGAATGCCTCCTACAATATTCCATTCTCTGACAATCGTGTTTAACAACGAATAACAATGATTAGTTAATAGGTAAGATATTTTTGTAAACCACTAATGATACCATATCTGTATTCAAACATTCACAATTTCATCGAATTTATCTCAACACTATAATTACTGAACAGTTAAACTGACTTTTCCAGATTTTTCTATGGAAACTCCAGTGCTGAGATTTATATTTATCATTCAGTTTGTCTATTGTTGAATCAATTTCTATAGTAGTTCCTCGGATAAGTGAATCTGTTTTTAATAATTAACCCTTAGCACTCCAGATGGTTTTGTAATCAGCAGTTGCAACTAATTTTTAGTACAAAATTGGATGTGTGAGAAATCTAATAATTATAGGATCGTTTCTTTAAGATTTATTAAAATATGTAATATTATTCCTGGTGCATTGGAGCCTACAGAGTTCAAAGGGTTAACCCTTAGCACTCCATGTTGTTTTGTAATTTATCAGTAACTAATTTTTATAGTATTCCTAGCGAAAATGGGAAATGCTATAACATTTCTTCAATCTTTTATTTTCCTTAGTACAAAATTTGAATGTGTGGAAAATGTAATAATTTTAGGGTAGTTTCTTTAAGATTGATTAAAATATTTAATATTACAACTGGTGCAATATTGAAGCCCACAGAGTTCAAAGGGTTAATTCTCAACTATATGGCAATGTTTTCTAAGGGTTAAAGAAGCAAACAGGAATTAGTCATTACGACCTACACGGTAGTTCTAGCGTTTAAACCCAACCGAAGATATAATTGTAATGTTCGCTATTTTGTATTCTAGCATGATATTTTTCCTCAACGGACACCGGGCACTAGAGGACAGGTATCCGATGGTTGCAGCCGATATGCTCATGATTCAGGTTCCGATGCCACGTCTTCTCGAGACATTGCTAACAATCTCCGGGCTCTGAGTCATTGAACAGTTGCGTTATGAGTCACACGCAGTCGAACCTTATTGGCCAAGGAATTGGTTTCTAACAAAGGAATGTTGTTGTAACGCGTAGCCGTGTAAACGAGACTCCCGGTCGATGTATTTTCGTTCTCTGTTCGGTTCAAGTGTGCAACACGATTTTTTTCGTAAATATTGACACTTTGAATTCCGCGGTGTACAGACGTATTTTTAGAAAACGCCGCTATATCGGACGCGTTCGATCGCGACGTTCAAGTATCGTCGGCTGCGCTGTTATTTCATTCGGTGCACCGATACACAACAATCGCAGTCATCCGCGGTTACTAACATCAGAAAGACATCACGCTCGACCGTCGTCCATTGACACGGGTCATTAATGCTTTGCGTTCACGTGATTAATTCTAGAAAGATTAAGGGTGGGAAAATTAAAATGTATTATTCTCGTTGAGAATGTTTAATAGACTCGTTTATCACTCGTGTTTCTGAAAGCTCTGACACGTTCGCTACCACATTTCGGTGACAGTTATTATACCTCCAATCTATTAAATCTAAACGAAATATTGGAATCAAACTGAAAGTCATTGAGTTCCTAAATATAATGTAGTTTATCATTTCTAATAACAATAACCCTTGCACTCGGAAGTTTTCCACTGGAAATATTCAGCATTTCCCGACGAGATATGGACGACATTGTTTGAAACTGATTTAACGACAATTCACACATAAATTGAGCAAAGCTATTTTATTTAAATATTTCACACAGCAGTACAAAGTTTCATTTAAAATGCTAAATATTCAACTTCATAGTGTTGTATCAGATCAAGTGATGATCGAGTCACCTTTAGAGTGCAAAGGGTTAACAATCTCTCACTACACAAAGACGATTTGTTGAAATGAACTCGGTCACAAGTAAATGAAACAAAGCTTTCTTATCCCAATATTTACCAATGCATCATATACAGCTCAATATTAAATATCAAACTTTATAGTTTTACCGCGTCAAATCAAATGATCGAGTCACCTCTCGAGTGCAAAGACTTAACTCCGTTTCCATTATGTAAAATAGATTACGACGCTCATAGCGAACGTGTTAATTTTTCTGCTTGATTTCTCCGGGATTAACGTTCCAATTTCCAGGCGATCGCCAGTGCGGCAACGGAGTGCGATTCATCGCGGGGGCATTGTACCTTACCGATGCCCGTCGGGGCAAAACGATTTCTCGCGCGAAAAGGAAGAAGCTCGGGAAGAACGGAGCTGGGAACGAGAAGGAAAACTCGAAAGCGTCGGGCGCAAATTGTTTTGCGGCACCCGACACCTTCCTAACTGTACACGTTCCTTACAATTAAGGTTCCTGGAATTTCTTGCGTTCGAAACGCAGCGTGTCCTTTTTGCCTCCGCGTTGCGGCGAACGATGCTTCGCAGAATAAAGACCCTAGCCCGGACCCGGAGTTAACAAAGACGTGGACCGTTAAGACGCTTTATCCGTTCAACTTTCTTCCTTAACTGCCCCTCGTTAATCCGTTAAAAGGGGTGAATGAGCGAACCTTTTCGGTGTGTTTCAAATTTCCTTGTCCATTCACCCGTAAGCTCTTGTATTGACACGTTGGATGCCGCACGATTTTATGGCGGAAAATACACAAAATGGACAAAATTCGATATTAACACTAGAACTACTATATCCTATCTTAGTAACAGTTCAAGTCGCTTTTGATTTGTGCAATTACGCGAATACGTATTGCAATACTCTAGTTTTGATTTTCGCAATTTATATAGACGAGCACGTAGTTTTCTAGGAACAATAGAATAAAGTATAGAACAAACGTCCGTAAATCTGGTGTTAATATCACAATTCTTACGTTACACGAGTACCTAGCTACCAACGCTACTGAACACGGCATTCGACGTCAGTTATCCTACAAGCTATAATTACTTTCTTGTAATTTCGAAGCTCCGAAAATTATTCATTAATATCACAATTCTTACGTTACGAGTACCTAGGTACCAACGCTACTGAACATTGTACTCGACGTCAGTCATCCTCCATCTATAATTATTCTCTTGTAATTTTGAATCTCCGATGACCATGGCGTTACAGAAGAAACGATTTGCGGTCACACGTGACCACCGTGGCGGTCGGCGTGTTAAATTCCATCGTAGTGTCTATAATGTAAAGTTCGAGTCTGATATCCTCAAGTTTATTCAACCGTACCATTTCGCGAACGCGCGTCCTTACGCCAGAATAAGATTTAGTCATTCCCGGAGAGCGTCTCTAATATTAATGGGCGCTTCGATCGATGTGCTCCCGTCACGGGGGACAATTGCAATTATATCTACATGCATATCGAAGGATACGCGCGGAGGAACCGGTCTATATTCTGGGAAATGAAGTCACCTAAATTTAACCCTGCGGATTTGTATGCTACTGGTGCGTCTCAAAATTGTCTCGGCCACATATGACTTTAACCTTTAACACCCACACTAACCTTCGGCGTCGACGCTATCTCTCGCGTAGCGTTCGATAGGAACCTCCGACAAGCCGGCTTGTTTAA